CATGTCTCATATGTGTTCTATGGGATTAAGATCTAGGGTCGTGCAGGCCATTGCACAAGTTGAAGTCCTACCTCTGGAATATATTGCTGCACGATACGTGCACTGTGTGGTCTAGCATTATCTTGCTGGAATATGAAGCCCTCTTCTATAAATAGTGTAAATGGTATAACATATTCTTCCAAAATGTCCAATATTTATCGTTCACTGTTTATATTGTGTTGAGGAAACACATGTAAGTCCGTACGCGCCTCTGAAGACACCCGGCCAAACCATCACAGATCCACCTCCTAAAGGAGCTTTTTGGAGGATGTTCCATTGAGCATATCACTCATTTGGTCCTTTAAATACACGAATACGTCGATCTGACGAATATAGACAAAAACGAGACTCATCTGCAACAGTACGCTATCCCACTCCTAGAGGTTGCAACCTACATGTATACTATCAAACTCCAGACGAGCCGTTAACATATATCCAGTCATTCAGGCGTCTTCTAATTGTTTCCAGGCTTACTTGCACGTTATCTGCCCCTGCAAATTCCATTTAAGGGTACGTGGTGGTAGTAAACCTCTGTCTCAAGAATGTAACTCGTAAAAAACGTTCTTGAATTGCTGTAGTTTTACGATGTCTGCCTTGCCCCCGACCTCTCACATAACTTCCCTCTTCTCGATGTCTTTGAACTATTCTAAACATGGTGGTATGTGAGACCCCGAGTCTTTTACCAATTTCACGAAAACTGTAGCCTTCATTGGCTAATGTAATAGCTTGAATATACTCATTAAATTTAACATTTGTCTTACAATTTCAACAAAAGATGCAAATAAACACTGACAGTTTATAAACAACACCATTTTTGTTATAAATTTTGATCTCCATAGCTAAACAGTTTCTTTTTCATTTTGACAATGAAATGCTTTTGCTCATTTTTTTCAAAGACTACAGAATACACGTATAGAATATACGTATTTACTTGTTTTCACATTTGCTTAGCTACCACAACGTCCCCTGTCTTCACATTTTGAAAAAAAAACCTAAAACATGAATAGCGCTTTAATTTTGTGGAGCAGTGTATCTTTTCAGACACAGTTTTGGCGTTCTTGCTGTGGCACCAGTTTAAATTTTTTTCACCATGCTTCACTCCTCGAGCTGCGTTCAATCTATAGTCAACTCCAGAGAAGTTTTAGATCTTAAAATATCACTTTCAAGAGATTCAGACATTTTTCAATTTTTTTCCAAAACCTTTCTATAGTGGTATGAAAGTCTTGTTTTTATTTACGATGCAAATTAAATCAACATCGTCCCTTCGACGCTTGTCCACGCTATTTTCCATAATATTTTAGATATCCACCACAAAAGTGCAGCAGTAATTTATCTTAACAGATGAATCCAAGTTGGCCGAAGGCACAGGATACGTTGTAGTAAAACTATATAAAAAAGAAGTATATAGAAAAGTAAGAAAAGAATACGATATCTTGACTGCTGAACTGTTTACTATTCTGGAAGCAATAAAATAATAAAAAAGACACGTCCAGCGCGAGACCCTTTATCACACTAATGTAATAAGAGAGGAAGTTCATAATAAATTCCAAGAGTTAAGATATCGCTTCTATTCACTCCATCAGATATTAGTATCAAAGAAAATGAACTAGCGGATAGAGCAGCAAAAGCCTCAGCAAATAGAATAATTAGACAGAATAAACAGAAAAATTACTATATAATGTATTTTATATTTTGCCGTTTTTTCCTTGATATACGCGGTCTTCTTTTCACAAAAAACTTAAAACATGTTGAAAATGGTAAATTTTTGTGGTGAAATATGAATTTTGCAATTATGTTTCACTCCTTGGTCTGACAACGAATGAGAAACTCATCACAATTGAGATTGAGCCGTGTTTAGGAGGAGCTTAATCTTTGGTTTCCTCTTTTACTCAATCAGGCGCGGATGCAGGATTTCGTTCAGGGGGGGGCAATTTTTGGGTGATTTTACCCATCTACCAGAAATTCGTTCTAAACAAAAAAATTTATAAAATTTTAGCTAGTATACTCTTTTTCACATAACATGGGTGACATTTGGTTCTTTTCATTACACGTATAGTGTACAGTAGAACCTCGATAATCCTAATTCCTAATTGGGAAAAAGGTGTGTTCGGATTAACGATTTGTTCGGATCAGTAATTTTCTCAAAAATCTGAAAGGGAATTGAATAACAACTTCATACACAACTGAAAACAAACTTCAAGAAATAAACCTAAATTTTATTAAACAAAAATTAAAGAATTCTTAAGCAACAATGGATAATAGATACATTCTAAAAAAATATTACTCCGTGACCATAAACACGCTATCTTTTTGGAATAAACACCCCGGGATCTATACGCTGAAATTTTTCAGAATTTTTAGATGAATTTTTCAAAAATGAAATTTTCCATTATGTAAATTTCGACCCATTCTCGACGATTTTCGAAATTTAACTAAATATATTTTCTTGTAGATTTGGACCTCAGAAGTCACTTCTGGCTTCACTTCTTCGATAACTTAAACCATTTTTCCAGAATCGTCCAGTTGAAATATCGCAATTTTTAAAAATTTCAAAAAATTCGAATTTCACAGCGAATTTTCCAAAAATATTGCTCCGTTACTATAAACATGGTATACTTTTGGAATCAGCACGTCGGGATATATATCCCTAAATTTTTTCAGAATTTTTAGAAAATTTTTTCAAAAATGAAATTTTTTTCATGCAAATTTCGACCCATTTTCGACGATTTTCGAAATTTAAGCAAATACTTTCTCTTGTAGATTTCGGGTCTCCGATAACTTCATCCGTTTCTCTAGAATTAGTTAATTAATTCAGTGCTTTGAAATATCGCAATTTTTAAAAATTTCAAAATATTTCATACAACATATGCAGAAAGATCTTGCGTCATTTTTGGAAGTAGACGCATGTTTTCAAGTTCAGTTCGGATTGCAGAGTTTTTGTTCGGATTAAAGAGGCATCGACTTCAAATAGTCACTGTTCGGATTACTGGATGTTGAGACAATCGTGAGTTCGGATTATAGAGGTTGTACTGTATTTACAAAATGAAATATGATTTCAAAATTTTGAAATTGGTCAAAATAAAGTACCTCGGTCGTGTGTCAGGGGGGGGCAATTGCACCCATTGCCCCCCCCCTGGATCCGCGCCTGTACTCAATATATATAGACGATCACTTAAGAACATGTTTCACATGGTATAGTTTCCCCAATTCTAATTCAGTTTTATGATAGTACCCCATTGCGTAAAAGATAACTTCTTTATCTTTTTATCATGCCAAATTACCTTAGAAAACTTATATCAACGAAAAACATTGACAAATGGAGAGAAGCCAACCAGAAATTAAAGAATCCCATTGGTTATCCAAAAGCTCCAAACCCCAAAGCCAAAAGAAATGCACTTATAATAAATCGACTACGACTCTGGCACATGAGGTTAATGCATCGACATATTTTTGCAAATGAAACAACTACTATAAGTAACAACTGCATCGAAAACGACACTGTTAAACGTATATTCTTGGAATATTCCCAACACAAAATGTTGCGACAGCGATTTCAACCACCCACACACTACCGGATATTTTATGTTAGCAACTCCTTCATTTAAAGCAATTAAGTGGTTAACATGTACAGCAAGGAAATAACAAATTTATTAAAGTCTAGATTTATACACACTTTTTAGAAATGTTGCAACAATTATAGCAGATAAACAAAAGGGAAAATTTGCCCTAAATGTTTATTTCCCAGGTATACAAGAACAGATAGTTCTTCGAAGAACGGATTGATAACTTACGTACTAGCATGCTCTTACAATACATACGTATTTCCGACAGAATACCTTCAGTATCAAGTTTCTTTCACAAAAGTACTTATTTTTAAGCAAATTATGTTTGACCAAGAGCTTAGTTTTTATTTCATGCACTCCTGATGACAAACATGCCTTCCTACTTCTTTTGAGTTTTTGTTTCAAATGTCAAAAATCCAACTAGGAGTTTCAGTCCATTTCCTTAGCTGGTATTCTTATTAGATGAAGACTAACATTTTCATTAAGATTTCTACCTAATACAAAACTAAAACACCCAATCTCTTAGTTCACCTTATACACGAAGCGTGTGTTTTTTAATTAACTCATGAACTTTGACATCTGAAGATGTTAAGTCTCACACTAATTCCATCAAACCAATATAGTGGAGATCGTTCACAACTTTACCAATCAAACGCAGTTTTTTGATGTAAAGAATGGAATATTCAACAACGTTACAGAGTTTGTGTAAATTTTGGAGATGTTGGATCCCATTGGTCGTGGGATAATTGGCCAAATTTTGGTTAGCATCTTACCATCTACATGATATTTCTAATACATAAACATACAAAATTTGACAACAATCGGTCTAGTAGTTTCGGAGTTTACGTGTCTAACAAAAATCGTCACAGACAACTGACAGATAGAAAGACGGAAACGGAAGATTTTTCGTATTCTAGGGGTCATGAAACGTTATAAAACACAAAAGCGGCAAGTCGCCCGATGGACTAGATTACTATACTTCCTAGTTTATCCTCAAGAAATAAAAATGTAAAATACACCTGATGATACTATATACACTGATTTATGTCCGCTGTTGCTTTCAGATAATGTACTTGAAGCAACATAGTTTTGAACATTATTAGAACATTCATCCTGCCGAATAATTTATTGTTCCTAAATAAATTAATCTAATATACATCAGCACAGAACAAGTCAGTCAAAGTTGCAACATCTGCCCGTGCGGCGGATGTAATAGACGTCGCGACGCGCTGCAAATACTAGGTAGCTAAATATGTAAGGCGTCAGGACGATAGTACGAAGGAACGGTAATGAAGCGTATTTGGAGAGTGAATTGCGCGTAATTGCCGTCCCATTTGTAATACATGCATATGTTTGTGTGCTAGTAGAAACTAACGATGATTTCTTGTGACATTTCAGGAGAGCACCCAGCGGCCATGCAACACGGAAACAAGAACACAGCGCCGTTGTCCTTGTCGCTGCACTGCACCCTTGTATATAGTATCTCTGTCTTCATAATAAAACACATCAGATGAAACCTCTTGTAAATACGACTTTCATTTATCACCCCCGCAAGTCCAGCAATCCTACCGTCATCACTTCCACTGTACTAAAATCCAGGTTCCATCTGTCATATTTTATCCAGGCATGTATAAAAACATATCTTTACTTTGGAAATTAAGGATATACGTCAATACACTTTCACATTCCTAACAGAAACACTTCTTCCTGTTTAATATTTGTACATTTCGTTATTCAATCATGATGTAGATATTATTTATAGTAACTCGACTTTTTGTATAAATAAAATATCAAATGAAATGTTATGAATTTTATTTCACCCAACTTTACCTAAACTTCATAAACCAAATATTTGTTTAAATTAATAAAGGAATGTAAACATCATTTTAAAACTTATTAATTTGAATTTCCACTGTAACCATAAGGTCAGTTTATGTTAAAATGCTTTTATAAGCAAAATATTTGAAAGAACACACTTATTGGAAACAACTATTTAACTATTTTTCCTGTATTGCATTCATATTTAAACATCGATTTTTACGTAAAGGAAACAACTAGAAAACTTCGTATAAAGCAGTAATGCTACTGGGTTTAACAAGAGCGTTTAGAGTTTAGAACCCATACGGGAACTAATAGATACCACAAGTAAAAGATATCGTCGTAGGTGATAATTCCTCTTTAGTCACTTCTTATCATCAACCGCCCCCATATCAGTGGATAGGAAAAAAGCCACTTTCGAGAATTCCTGTCTTCTATCACTGATGTTCGTAACACAGAGATTTATATACTGACCAAATAATCACAGAAACTCAGATCTTTTGTTTCTTTTTCATGCATTCAAATTTTTTTCCTTGTCTGTAGAATCGATGGCCTTTTCTTAATTATCAAATTAACAGTATAACCACTTTTAGGAGTAGCAGCTGTCACTACAACTTCAGCCTTGATAAAATATAGTCGAGGACCAATTTTGAGTCTCTTTCATGTTATGATAAAAAAATAAATAAATAGTATCATCGATCATAACTTTTCTATTGCCAGATAAAATATTTTATCTATAACGACAATATTTTTTTGGTGTGAAAATTTAAACCTCCAGTAACAAGTTTCAGTATTTACACAAAAATCAGTGTGATACGTGTTTTCCTCCTCAGTTCTATTTATGAATTTATTCTACTTGGATAAAGATGTTCATTGGTCACATTGATCTATCAACATAACCTCACTGATCTCTAGTCACAAAAATTACGCAATGGTAAAACTCGACAAAGTATTTATTGCAAAATTTCCGTCACTATATTAGAATGTATTTTTTTTTTAATTTACTTGCTTCTTTGTTCACATGATTAACATTATCTTTTATTAGTCTGATGTTCGTTCCTGTAGCGAAAGTCTCCTAACCTACAATCTGTTTACGCCCAAATTGTCGTAATTTTAATATTAATGTTCTAGTTGTTACCGTTTTTACAATTTTTTATTTAATTTAGGTAGGTACTTTTAAGTACATATTATATTAAGACTCGTGTCATTAATTTCACAATTCTTTGAACGTTTAGTTTGCATTTGAATTACTTACTACCAAAATATTATTACATTTTTAACATCAGCTACCCAACAATAATAACTAGATAACTTTACTTATGTAAAGCTAGAAATTTTTGGCGAATTTTGTGTTTAAGCATGATTTATATGTCGCAAACGGAACCAAAAACATAAACGGAAACAAAAAATTTGAACAGTCCAATTTCATTACGCCCATTCATAGTTTCAGCCACATCTGCTGACGGAAGCGACTTAGATCGCAACAAAGTGGTTGACAAGTTTTATCTGTGGAGATAGTGAACGCAACCAATCAAAAGGAAGATGTTGCGTGTAAGAAAATTGCACCATTCGGCTTTTTCCATTTCCGTTTGCGAAGTAGATATAAATCACGCTTTATTGACCCAGGAACTAATAGCTTGTATTTTAGCATAATATTGAATCAGTACAGGCTAGTGTACAGAACGACAGTTTAAGCAGCAACCCTATTTATATTAAAGATCAATTTAAAAAAAAGTGCTCGAAAGTTATTTATACAAAACTTCTCTAAATACTAAAGCACAGTCAAATGAGCCGAGCTTCTTCGATAAATTATGATTATGAAATATGATTCCCCTAATTTTATTATTTTTTATGATACCTCCCATAAGTTCAGATATACTGAATTTGCAGACTTTCAAGAACATTTTTTATTTAAACAACAAATTAGATCTTAATTTTTTGAGACATCCTGTATAAGCAACTCTAAAAAATAGAAGTGTATAAAGATAATAAATTCAATAATATGCTATTCTCCACAGTTCATGTGAGATTTACGACGTAAAATTTTTAAACATCATGATGTTCTTGGGAGAGTTTAACAACATTCTTATTTTAACGACTTGCCATGTTTATATTTAATTTGCAACCAAAATAGATACTTGTAATTATAAAAATATAATTTTAAACAAAAGCTTTTTATAAAAATTACTTTTGTACAGCACCAATTTTGAAAGAACTTTTAGCCCTCAATTTAGAAAAAAATTTGAGGGCTACTTACAAAGAAATTTTACCATTTGACCTTGACAATAATACGCTTTCTCTTCACAGTTGATTTATTTTTTATGTTGCATGGGCCGATTTCTGCTCTTGCTGCTGCTACTACGTACAGAAAATGTGAAATATAACAAACTAAAGTCAATACCTGTAACAAATCCGTTGTCTTAGTCGTAGTGGAAAAAGTATAATACACATATAGATTATGACATTTATAATGTCTAGTGTTACAAATTGTTGGAATACAAGAACAAAATTCAGTACATCACTAATTTTATTAAACACTCCGCCAAACCTTCAGTCGTAGTGTTTGAGGTGTCAATCTGAGTACCTATGTGAATATTACTAAAATGTAACTAAAACACAGTGTAACAGCCAAAAATAAAACATTTTATACCAGAGGAACAAGTTTTGCCACGATTACAAAATATATAAAATATAAAAATATAAGAAAAAATCTCCTATAACCTAAATAACAGTTAATCTCCTCTTTAGGGTATGAAAAGTTAAACATGAATATATCAAATAGGCAGTATTATAGTATTAGATATGAATTGATAAAGCTCATTTTGTATAACATATATATTTTGTTATTTTGTAACATTTTGGTATGAGTTTTTAATTTAATTTTTGAAAATTCCAAAGATGCACTCAAACGTCAGAAATGAAAATAAAAGGAATTTCACTGTCCAAATACTATCCAAGTTATTTTTTTGTTTTATAATTCTTGTACAAGTGATAATTTTTGTTTGGTATAAAATTATTTTTAATTCAAAATATCACAATCACATATTAGGTATGTATTTAAAACATAGGAAACCTCATCACTCAAGGTAAGAGAATTTAAAACCGGACCTGCAAAAATCGTTTGGAATAGGTAGACTACATTTATAACGTGTGTTTATCCCGCAACCTAAACACCAAATTCCACCTAAGAAAGTTTATTCCTTCTGCTGTAAGTGGTGAAATCGCTTACAGTTTATTCGCGACATAAACACCAAATTCCTATAAGTGAGTTTAGTTCTTATGCTGTAAACGCAGAGTTCGGTATAGTGGACCCTGGATAGGTCAGTCCAGCTCTTAAGGCTCCTCTGCAGTAGATGTACGTATTCTCTGTTTCTATATAAATTTTCATGTGAGATTACGACCTTATTTTTAAATATGAAGAAGCAAAATTAACACATTTAACAATGTATTTGCCAAAAGTCCAGAATTTGACTTATTTACTACAGCAGTAAATCGAGTGGCAAATAATGCAATAAGTTTGCTGTGTGATGTCGACAATAATTAGGCCGAAAATTACAATAGTCAGGTAAATAAAATAACTTACCTTACCTTAACTTACATTATGTTGATTACTTGTTGAAAAGATGTTTGTTTTTTTTTTTGGTATTGTTTATTACAAAAATATAACACAACTTATTTTAAAAACCACGGTGTTTGCTCGAAAGACCAGGTCAGAATGGATGACACTCTGAACAAATAGGGTTCAGAGCAGCTACAAGACGTCTGTACTTGTGGAAGTTTATTTTTACTCTTACCCAAAACAAAAACTAAAACTATCTTATTCGAGTAGGAGAGGGTGGTTACATCCCCTTCCCTCTTGTCGCTGATTGGCTTCTCGATTGGTCCGAACATTTAGAGGCTCCCCATTGTTTGCTCCATTGTTTGCGATATTTCCTGCATACTTAAGACCTCCTCACCCAATCTTTTTTCCCGTTCTAACTCTAAAGCAAGTCTTTTTGACTCATTTTCAATTTGGGCTATTTTTAATTCAATATCTATCCGTTTTCGTTCCATCTCCATATCATGCTGTAATTTTATATTTATGAGGTCTTCTTCTTTCTGGATTTTTAATAGTTTTAATCTGGACGTATTTGGTTCACCAGGTAAATCTAGATCTAATCAAACAAAGTTATTAGTAACATAATTTTTAGACTTGATTGGTTTTTGGTTCTTACAAGATCTTGTTAAAACTGCGTCCCTCTCATTGTCAGCTGCTGTTATTTCCTTTCTTCTGTTGATATTAGTGATGCTAATATCAGTGGCATTTAAGGTGGCATCGAAGGGAAAATCGTTGCATAAGTAAGTATACTTTTTTTTTTATTTCTCGATAATACAAATAAAATTATTCCTACCGCTGACGCTTCAACAACAGTTTCTGCAACATTAGTGTATATGTATTATGTATTGTATTTGAACAGTTTAGTGCTAATATATATATCGAGCCCAGTAACTGGGTATCTGCATACCACTACAGTTTACATAAGTCTTCCACTCATGCGCTTTTTCCTGAAATGTGCTACAAATATAGCAATATTATTTAATAGACGCAGTTCCAAAAAGTGAACTAAAACTATGAATATATGAACTTTGTCCCAAGTTCCGTCTGCAGTTGCAGTAAGCAGCTCCAGGATCGCTCCATATGAAAACACCAAATTTGAATAAAAAAATAC